CAAAATAAAACTGAAGAGGTAGAATTCAGGGTTTGTGTGGAAACTACAGGTGAAAGAAATGCAATGTATTTTTGTCACAAACTTTGCTGCTTACTTTCTATCAAATGAATAGGACATTTGAGCTGGTTTCAGTCTTTCAGGCAGAGCTGACACATGGTTTGTTCTATTGTGATGTTTGGAGTAGATAATGAAATCCTGGATATCTTCTGAGGAAATTTTGGAAAAGTCAATGGTGGGATATAAAGAAAGATTGTCCTGTGGAAGAGGCTGTTTTTCTGAGAGGACATTGTATTGCTGACCAGAGGCAAAAAAAAAAAATAAAATCCTAAACCATTTTACTTACCTTTTGCAACATACTTGTCTCACAAAGACTAACCAAAAAAAAAAAAAAAAGATTTTCCCCAATATGGTACACTGTTCAATATACTATGCAACTCTAAGTGTATTTTTGCTATTTTATTTGCCTTGTGATCACAAATCTCACTTGCCTTCCCATTTCTGGCTTTTAAATTGCATTAACTATTATTATTTAGAAAAAGTGGCTGATAACCTTCTTTGTTCTTGAATAGCCATTGTAGGGGCTAGTGCTACAATCATCAGAATACCTTGATCCAAACAAGTTTACAGAACTTATCTGCGAGTAACTATCAGTTTAGGTTTTTAATACTGAGACTGTTATAGTATTCCTGAATTTATTTTTTTTCAAAAATTACTTGGTCCTAATTTTATTTTTAAAGATTTTATTTTTATTTATTTATGCATACAAGAACTGGGGTATAGGCCAGAGGTGCGGGGGGTGAGAGGATTCACCAGACACAGAGTGGGGAGTAGGACAGGCAGATTGACTGAAATACACTGCTAAGGGGAGCAGCAGATGAGTCTGCTGTGCCATGTGGGTCAGCTCCATGGCCGGAGATGTAACTCAGGTCACTGTGCCTGGGGACAGCTTGATAGCGCTGAGATTTTAACCCCTATGCCACCAGGGAGGCCCTTGGTCCTAATTTTTATATAAATATGTATATTTTGGGAACATTCATATGAAACCTTTGCATTGACCATAGAAAGATTTCACATCCATCTATTAAACACTATGCCATTTTAGAAATTAAATGGAAATTTATACAGAATGAAAACTTGGAAAATTTGAACTAATGTTCTTAGCCTTCTACATCATCAAACCTTTGCACTTGAATCTAAAATAATTACCAACACTTTTAATTTCAGTGGAAAAAGTTAAAGAACTGTCATTTTTTTCTTTCAGAGACTAGCATAGCATCTCAGGCAGTTAGTAGGATCAGCCTCTCATCCTCTCATCCGGCAGCGCACTGAAGGATTGCAGAAATCTTCCCCACAGACAATCCCTTGTGAGTCTGTGTCCACACCTTCAAGAAGTTAGGAATGAACTTTATCTCCATCAAGCTGACAATGATAAGATTTCAAAAAGGAGGGAAGACTGACCACCCACAGCCCTGTTGTCTCCAGACCAGATCCAGCCAGATTTGCAAATACCACTATCACAGTACAAGTAGTATCTCCAAATTGACAGTCCTGCCGATTGGCAGGCCTTGAAGATGTTTTATCTAATTGTCTAAGAGCAGGAAGGAGAGCATGGCATACACTCATTTTCATTTAAATGTAGACAATTTTGACCTTCACTGTTTTTCTTCAAGCCAAGATGCTCCTAGTGACAAATCTCCTGCAATTTGATTTTTTTTTTCTTTTAAAGAAGAAAATGAAGACCTCCCCTTGGAAAGCCATCAGGAAATGAAGAAAGGTGTCTACATAAGCAGGCACATGGCCAAAGGTGACAGGGTGACAGCGAACAGCTCAGGAAATGAGTCACCCCCTTTGTTGGTTTTTATTTTGTCAGCAGAAGAAAGACATCAAAAATAACGTTCCACAAAATCAATAAATAACCTATCATCCATGTCTGAGGCCCTGCTTTGTAGATGCCTCCATCTCTTCCATCCCTATTATTAAATGAGTCAATGGTGGAAAAACTCCCAGTGTTTTATGTGGAGTTAAATCAGATGCCAAATCTTCTCGGTCTTATCGCATGCACCAAAAAAATGTCATTAAAAAAAAGCACACTGGTACTGAGAGAAGTGGAAAGTTGTCAGGGACACATCCTACTGTAGCAAAGTCATCCTACAAACAGAGAGCACATTGCATCCCACCACAGAGCAGCACACGCAAAGAGAATGAATTTAGTTGCAGAAAAATGTGGCATGCTCCCCGCTGCCTCTGATCATTGTGTTGACTAATAGCATTTTTTCAGTTGTATAAGTATGTCTAATAACTTGCTGGAAAACCAGGATGAAACCTCTCCTACTTAACCTCTAGAAGCATCTAAAATATGCAAATATTTAATAAAGCATTGCTACAATACTCATACATCCAAGAAAAATAATGCATAAAATTATACTGGTACCATCTTAGACAGAATACTATTTAAGAGATTTATTCTCACAAGACCTTGTTGTCTGCTGTGTTCAAAATGTTTCAGATTTTATCTCTTCATCATGTAGCTTGAGAGAGATTATTTTTACCTTCTCCTATTTTCCCTGATGACTGAAATCTTTACAGTCTTCAGTTAGTCATATCCCACAGCCTACTAATTGTCAGATGCTGGAAGATGACAGTGATTGAAGTCATGATGAACTTCTGAGACTGAAGTCCCGTCTTTATCAATAAGGACAGAGTTACTATGTTATGAGTCACCCCAAACTGCTGCTTTTTTTTTTGGTGGCATTAAGACCAGAGGGCAGACTTTTGAGCAGCTGTGTTTGAGTTACTGGCATAGGAAGTGGGAAGGTTATGAGTTGTCTTGACTGTGTCATTCAGTAAGAGCTTACTTCCCACACAGGTTACAGATCTATCTTCCCAAAGTAGTTGGTTAAAATTAAGATGGTTAATTCTCTTATTAACACATCGTATGACAGAGTCATCATTTGCAAGATCTTGGAAAGTCCCATGTTAAACTCCATTGAAAACCAGTTCCCAAGTTCAAGATCAACTTAGGTGCCATCTAAACATTCAACCTGAGATGATGAGAACAAAGCACAACCATCCCTTTATCCTGTTTCATCAGTTGCTGCTGCAAATATCGACATCCAAGAGCTCCCCAGCTTTCATAGACAGCATCTCCTTTTAATCTGAGTTTTCTCTCTTTTTAGAGATTAGACAATATTATGCATATATTATTGGTGAGACACACTTCATGTGGCCTATCACTGCAGTGCTAGGATTCATACAAGCCCAGGGATCAAATCATGTCTCTGGCATGGCAATGACATTCGTGCATGAGGTTATTGGTAGCCTAACCCCCATACCTTCATGTCATCATAGGCTCTCTAACTCCCTTCCTCCCAAATCCCCATGGAAAAAGAAAACTGAATAAGTTTAATGCACCGGTAGAAAACAGAGTTACATCAATCAATGGAACAAGGAGGAATGTCTAAAAACATCAAGCAGGTGCAGAGTCAAAAATGAAGAACCCACACCACAACACAGGCTGATGTAGAAATATTTTGTTAAACTGCAAATGTGTTCATTTGAACTTTACATTAACCTGATATGGAAGCTTCAGAAGCAGGAAGTGATAAGGAACAGTCAGATTCTTTAGTGGACCCTTTGACACTCTGGCCCCCATGGTAGCTAAGGACTAAGGCAATTGCCTCCAGGAAAAAAGGCCCAAAGACATTCTTTCTGAATAAAGTTGAAGATCTGCCCAGCACTAATTCCAGAGATGTATTAGGGCTGTGAGAAAGGAAATAACAGCAAAATTTCTGTCACTAAAGCACTCTTCTCCTGACACTCCCTAATACAAACTCTCTCTGTACCTAAATTAAGAGAGACTACCTCCCTCCACTCAAGTGACTGGCTACCCACCTACCTTCCTTCCACCCCACCTACATCTCTGCAGAGTCAGGCAGCTTGTAATCACCCTCAGAATACAATTTTATTCCATTTGTGTCACATATACCTACTTCAATTACTGATATCAGTAAGTTATCATTCCCAAATATAAATTGGGGGTCCAGAATAATCCACAGAAGACACACAATGCAAGAGAGACACAAATTGAAGAAATGAACTAACTGAAGTGAAAATAATCCCAAGCATCGATGAAAACATAATTAATCTCATCAGATAAATAACAGGCATAATATGGTAAGCTTGATGTATGTTAAAATTCACAAGCCACAGACTTGGATCATCTTTAAACCCATGCTCTATTCTGAGTGCAAATGTCTGGCTTTATACTTCCCATGGGATACAGACAACTGCTAATATTATACAAAGGGAAGAAATTAAATATTCTGAAATTCTGAGAGATCACAAATGATGCACAGTTGAATGTTGAGCCAAAGACATTTAAGGAGCCCCAATATATAGAGATTGGCTTGCTGTAAATATATCACATGTTCTGTCCTTGGATCACTTAGTGTTGTTTCTGTGTGTGTTGGTACGCTCTTCTCTGCAGAGACAGCAAGGAAATCTGGGGTCCTGACATCGAAGTAAAGGACTCCAGTGCTTGAAAAATACTTGGCCACAGCTTAGCCTTCAACAGAGTACTTGTGAATACTACATTGAGTACAGCACACACAATGCTTTATTTCAACACTTGATTTATCAGGCTAAAGTATCTTTGAAACAATGCTATACTCTATATAACATGAAGAGCCTAGGGTTAAGTGGAATAATTGTTAGAATAGTCAACAGAGAGAAACTGTTTGAGAAAAGCCAGCTTCCAAATGGGGGTTTTTATCTGTGTATTGTCACTTTAATCCTCTAAGTATTTTCAGTTTCCTATGAAAGAATTGAAATTTCCTGAACAACAATACTGCCAAGAGTTATTATCCCTATCGCCTACCTTCAAAGAGTCATTCTCTATTCAAATGGCTTATATCAAGCCTGAGCATTATTAAGATTACATGCAACTTTCCAGACATCTACCTAATCAGAAAGAACAGTCCCAAAAGAATATACAGACTTACATATTCACAGATCATGCAGTGCAGGATAGCCCTGGGGAAAAAAAACAAATGGAAAAATCACAAAAAAGTAAAATGACTTTCCAAATTTTTATCTTTATGAAGATGTATGCAAAGGTTGATAATTTTTATATTAAAAATGAAAGGTTTACTTTTATGACTATAGAAGATGTCTCTGTGTTTCTTTGTCTCATCTTTTTACACAGCCTTTTTGCAGCATTTCCAGACCATACATGTTGAGTTCAGGCCCTCATGTCAGATTCTGTGCATATCATTTATTTGCTGATGACTTGGCATCCGTTAGGAAATTCAATTCTTTTCAATAGCGTTGAGTCAGTCACTTATTCCAGAAGAGTTTATGGAGTGTCTCCTCTGTCAGGCAGCATTTATGAGTTAGAAAAACAAAGCAGTCCTCTAGGAGTTTACACTCAAATGGGAGCCTGCTGGACGCAGGCCTTCCTTGAGATACTCAAGCCTTCTGAGAGGCGCAGAGCACTCACCTGTGCTGGCGGTGTTTTAGTGCTCTGTGATGATGAACCTCCTATGAGGAAGAGAAATCACCTCCTTCCACAATGCGCAGAGTTGATTTCATGTCCCTTTTCTCACCTCTGCCAAGAATTACAAAACCCATTTATCTGAGATCTGAAAGACTCAGCTTCCACCCTCTCCTGCTGATAGGTTTCTGTGGCAACTGTCAGAGGAGGCATTGGGGTGACAGACAACTGGGGTTTTTTTAATGATATGGTTTTATATACCTTTTTCTTATCTAAGAAGAGAAGGTATTTGGAATATATTTTTAAATGAATTTCCAAATGGAGAAAAAAGAGAATAAAATGAGCCATTTCTTTTCCTTTCAAATATTCTGGTTGTGACCTTGGCTCTGTGCCCAGACAAGGGGTAGAGGTCACAGAGGAAGGTGAAGCTTGTCTCCCACTAGGAGGATAGACCAGCAAGGTGTGTCCCCTGGGGTTTCTAACCACGTATCCCCAGTTAATGACCTGGAGGCATTCTCCTCCCTATTTGTAGCAGGGGATTTTCCACTATGGAATTAATACTGTACTGGCTCCTAGTACTTCACGCCCTGAATCATTTTCAACATTAACAGGGGCTGGGCCCCCTATGCGGCAGGCAGTCTGGAAGTTAGTTTAGTAATCAGCTAATTCTTTCCTGAGGAATACTCACACCTCATAGTGAGTAAGCACACACCACTAATAGAACAAAACAAATGAGGTTTGCGTTCAGTTGTTTCCTTAACCTATAACCTGACAAGTTATAGCTACCAAGTGTATTGATATTTGACATCACCAGGCTTATCCCCTCATCTCTCAGTCAACAGACCTCCTAGGGCAGAGAGAACACTGGCTTCCCCAAGCGTCTTTCTCCTTCCACTTCTGTGAATTTTGTTCTTCACCATTGCGATCACCTTGCCAGTGGAAATATTTACACAGTAGTTTAAAAAGACTGCTGTTATTGTGAGTCATAGTAAAATTTTCATGTTGAAATATAAATATCATCTCATTTTTTGAGAAAAATTCAAGTGAAATGAACACATTGAAAATCTAGAATTACATATCACATTAGAACCGTAGAGATCTTTGCGATAACCACCGCAACCCTCATGAATCCAAATGGAAAAATGAAGCACAGATCAGGGGCAAGACTTAGGTATTATCCAAAGTCAGTTGCACCATTTTTTTTCACTTTGTTATCGCCTAGTAATTTATTGCGAATAGTTCTTTTCTATGCTTTAAAAGAAAAAAATAAAGTTTACAGTGTTTAGGTGAGCTTGTGATAAAGTTGAAGGAATCCATTGTTAACTTACCAATGAAGAAACAATCAGAACAACAATTTAAGTAAATTCAGGAGAAGGATTAGATGGCCAGGCTGAAGTCCCCTTTTACTTGCTTGTTTGAGACAATAGGCTTGTCAACAAGAAAACCATTTCCCCACAAGATAAGAGGAAGAAGATGAACTGATGTGACTAACAGTTGTAATATACGACTCCCGGGTTAACAAATGTAGACTCCAATAGGTAACTTCATAGATAAAAGAATGAATATAAATTACAACTAGAACAAGTTTGAGAAGAGATGGTCTACGTTGTCAGACTGGTTGAGTAGACCAGTAGGGGTCTGGCTGGAAAGAGAAGAGCAGGGAGTTACCTAACTAAAGCTCTGCGGGGTGATGAGGAGATGAAGGCCACCACATAAGTCTAGGAACAGCCTGTCTGCTGCCACTGACAGAGAGAGAGAGAGAGAGAGAGAGAGAGAGAGAGAGAGAGAGAGATTGAGAGAAAGAGAAACAGTAACAACCACAGAAAGGGATAAAGATAAAGAGGGAATAGGTAAGAAAGTCAAAACAAAAAGTATGACCACGGGGCCTTTACTTTCTTAAGATCTTAGCCAAGGGCCTCCCTGATGGTGCAGGGACTAAAGACATAGCACTATCAAGCTATTGCCAGCCACTGTGGCCTGAGTTCGATCCCCAGCCAGGGAGGTGACGGACATGGCACAGCAGACGTCTCCTGTCTCGCCCACTGCTCCCCTCAGCAGTTTATTTCAGTAGATCTGCCTGTTCAGCTCCCCACTCTGTCTCTGGTGAATCCTCTCCCCAACCCCCAACACCTCTGACTTGTACCCCAGTTCTTGTATGCATAAATAAATAAAAATCTTAAAAAAAATAGATCTTAGCCAAGATTTCTTATTCCAATATCAGATACTTGGTAGTTTTATTTGTATGGACAGGCTTGAGTGAAACATACAGCATGGGGGCAAATTGAATCAGGATCTGAAATTTCTTTCAGGGAGCACTGTAGATCCATCATGACCTCATGTGGTAGGTGGGAGTTAAGAACCAAGTGTGCCTAAAATGATTCCTTTCTGAAAGTATCCAATATTGAAACTCACTTGAAAAAGCATTCTTTAAATCCTAACTATATCCCCAGACAATCAGTTCTATGGATGGATCACCTCTCCTGAATTGGAAAAACATTGGGAGGTAAGCTGCTGAATCTTTTATGATTCCTCAAGGCCTCTGAGGATTCCTTAAACTGGTAGTGATATGAGCAAAACGGATAACATTTTCTATCTTTTGAGACTAATATTTCTCACCAGGATGCTTCTAATTATCTGTAGATCCCCCACTAAGATCAAAAGCATTCCTCAAGGCCATAGAACAAGAATATCTAATTTGTCACTACTAGTTAAAAGGTTGGGTTGGGCATTCCAGGTCTTTTGAGGTAGGAAATCAGCCTCATTAAGAAACTATCCACCAATATAGACCGGCCATTTTTTGCAATGGTATGAAAAAAAAAATTATGTTCATAAAAGGCAAAGCTTAAAAGAATACTTGAGATTAATTTGTATAATTAAAAATTAAAATGCATTTGGGAATATATGCTATTAATACACTGCTAATTTTTTTAACTAATTCATTCATTTTTACATCATTGTTCATTTTTGTACAATGTTTGATTTCTCCCCTCAGGTGTAATCCCCATAAAACTCCCACCACCACATCACCCATGAACTGTCACTATAGTCTTTTGTGCTCTTCCCTCCCCTGTTTGAACCCCCCCCCACACTCCCCTGCTAGTTTTGTCTTTTTTTTTTTAATTTCTGACCTCTTATTGGGTTTCCCTATATTCCTCCTATAAGCAAAACCATTTGATTTGCTTTCCTTCACACTATTAACTGTATTGACTCAGAAGAAATCAGCTCTTCCAAGATAATGTCTAGAGTGGTAGTTACTTCCAATTCAAACATGGCATTCTTTGAGATAAAATAATTTTAATGATATTAACAGCAATTATTATCATCAAAATGAAGAAATGTTTCACAAATGGTAGACTTAAAATGTCGTTTGCCTACACTAAGTCTACTTTGCTCTATATTTTAGAGACAGATATTCATAGAGGGACAATAAACAATAGCTAAATGTTCTGAAATTGTTGAATCAAGAACATATTTACTACCATATGGAGGATTGTGCATAAGAGACCTTTTTCTTGTCTCCTCTCTTCTTTAATCTACCTAACAGCGTGTGCTGAATCAGTTAGCCAAGGCCACATAGGTTTCAGCAAGCTGTGCGCTCTTGCTTAAAAAACAGCATGGTGAGGGCCTCCCTGGTGGTGCAGGGGGTTGAGCGCAGTGCTGTGAAGCTGTCCACAGCTTTGCAATGCGAGTTCGATCGCTGGCTGGCCAGGAGATACCCAAATGGTGCGACAGACCTCTCTTGTCTCGCCTGCTGTTCCCGTCAGCAGTATATTTTGGCACATCTGCCTGTTCTGCTCCCCACTCTCTCTGGTGAATCTTCTCACCCCCCACAACTCTGGCCTGTACCCCACCTCGAAAAAAAAAATTACAAAAAAAAAAAAGAAAAAAAAGAAAAACCATGGTGCAATGTCAATAGTTGAGATATAGCTTATATTTCTGGAAAATGAAATCAAGTGTCTAGATTCATTAACTGATAATAATATATATAGTATTTAGAGAGCCAGCAAAAGGAGTGAGTCAGTACATAAGTAAGTCTCTAACCCTTGCTTTATTTTTTTAAAAAGATTTTATTTACTTATTTATACAAGCACTGGGTACAGTCAGAAGCACGGGAGGGTGAGAGAATTCACCAGAGCCAGAGCAGGGAGCAGAACAGGCAGACTGATGAAATACACTGCTAGGGGGAGCAGCGGGAGGCGGGAGAGGTCTGCGCGCCATGTGGGACCCCCTCCTGTGGCCGGGGATCGAACCAGCCCTGCAGAGGCTGTGGGCAGCTTCGCAGCCCAGCGCTCAACTGCTGCGCCACCAGGGGAGGCCCCCTTGCTTTATTTTTTGTTTGGATTTGCAAGAATAACTTGTGAGTGGGACGCAGCAAGAGTAACCTCTACAAATTAGAAACCTGCCCCTTCTTCCATACAGACACAGCTCCTTGCCAGGAAGGGGTAAGGTCTGGTGAATGAGATGGAGACTGAATTTCAAATTTCATTTGTCCCATTGAGTGAATGTCCCTGTATATTAGCACAATTGTATGTGATCAATG